TTTCATTACACCTGCTAGGTTCTAAGTTCACTTTTTTCTCCAAAGTTCAATGCTTTGTCACTCCATTTAAATAATAAGATAGTGCTCAATTTACATTGTCTCCCTATTTGACTACAACGAAGTGCTGTTATTTCTTAATGTGCACATTATGGAAACAGTTCCAAAAATACTTTCTTAATTCCTGCCCATGTTTCAAAAAGAACCCAAGAAGACAACTTTGGGAAGGTTTTAAAAAGAGAAAGCAAATCATTAGAGACCTTTTAAGTAAGCCTTACCCTGCAAGAAATTTTTTTTTTATTTAATTTGTTCAAGAGAAGGATAAGTTTTAAAATTACCTCCAACCTCTCGTATGGAGGTATCATTTCAGATGGTACAGGATTTCTTGTTCAGCAGAAAATGGTATAGTGAGATGGCAGAGACTGGAAACTGAAGTTAAAGAAATTAATGATATACATACGTGAAGTAATTAACAATTGAAACAAGCTGATCTAAAGGCTTGTGAATTTTCTGGTTTTTAACATCTCAATTTAAAGACTGGATGTCTTTCTAAATTCATGGGCTGGTTGTACCAGAAGCTTGCTGTAGGGATTATCGGGTAATGCTCTATGGCTTATGTTAAGAAGGGACTCAAATTAGCTGGAACATAACGGCTCCTTCTGTTCTTAAATCAGAATCAGTGAATCATCCAAGAACTTTTCCACCAAACCCACAGAAGATAAGAATGAAGACTGCAAATATTTCTGAAGGGGGAAAAAAAAGAAGCAAATAATCCCTCTAAAAAACCCACATACGTATTTGAGGATTTCAGCAATATCTTGAAAATATAAAGTACAGCTGATCTCTCAAGTCACTTGTATACAGAGAAATTTGCTAAAAAGCTGTAATGCCAGTAGCATTTCTGGCACATCCCTCTCAAGCGCTGTTTTGTGCAGTGTCAGCCTCTCTCCTGCCTTTTTCACTCACCAACCTCATTCCTCATTCTCACGCTTCTTTTATCACTTCCCTTAACATTCCGTTCTTTTGGGTTTTTTTTTTCTTTTGACATTATCAGGCCCAGCTACAAGACACACTTCTCTCTAGTGTTGCAAGGCAATTGTGTATCCTTCCCTTGTGCACACAGCACGGGTGGTCAGAAGCGGAGTGGAGTCAGCAGGAAAAGACCAAAAGACCCTGGTGGGACAGAGCGATCTAGGCCCCCGCTGCTAGCACCAACCACCCTGTCACATGCTGACCCCTACAGCCCAATTAATGACCATAATAGTGTCTTCTTCAGAAGCTATCCTCTATAGCCTGTGTCAGCACTTCAGCAGTTCTTGCATTTTATGACTGAATCCATGTGATAAAACAGCAGAAATCTCATGGGCGAAGCGGGCAACCAAGGAAAGCATGAGCTTGAAACCAACGTGAGGAAAACTCCTGCAGAATGTGCTAAGAGTGAAACTCTGACAAGGTTTTTAAGAGATTTAGGAGACCTGATGCTCATTCTCAAAGTGACGAGTCAGGATAAGACTCATTGCAATAAGTTTAGTTTGTTGACAGGCCTGATTGTGTTGGCATAACTCACCTCGGTGACTTCAGCACACTCATGGAGTGAGGGAGAGAAGGAACAAGCTGCAAGTATGTCTGTGATGTGGTTCGCGTGCAGAGGCCCCTCCCGGGCGGGTACACTCGGAGGCTGCTATGCGCCCCAGCCTGTTCGCCTGCCCACAGCTGCAGGTTTATTCTTAGTTTCAGGAATTAGAATCCCCACGGACATGGCGATGGCTTCATGTTAGCTAGGAGACAGATTTTCTCCTCAAAACATTTCTCTCTGTGGATGGGTGGGTTTCCTGCTGAGGTGGATGAGGGGGGTCTAGTGATGTCTGATTTCTGAACCATGCATTTCATCCTCTGACAGTCACTTGCAGTATCAAAAAGACTTGCCTGGATTAGACTGGTCTTGCTAGTTCAGTAACCTGTAACTACGTGCAGTGCAATATGTTTCACTAAGAAACTCTACTGTAGGCATTTATGGGAGAACATAATTCCGTATCCCATAAGTTTTCCAAGACACAGTTACATTGTCATGTGAGTGAAGCATAAGATAAACCCAAGCTCCTTCTGCTCTGCAACCTTGTAAAGAAAAGTGAGAGGACACATGCTGCAGGTTGGGCTGACTGGACGGATGCTGTACCCATGTGCTGGCATAGTACTGCATCTCAGCCCACAGGCCCCGGTGAGAACTGGTGCTCATGATGCCACGCTACTTGTGGACACACAGTAATAAGTCAAGGAAGTCAAGGTGATGTGCCATGTGGCTTTGCAAGCCTTAATCTTTGTAAGCTCAGGCCTATCTATAAGCTCTTCCACGTGCCAGAGTAGGTATTTGCTCCTTGGCTAAGCCAAGACCAGTAGAATACGCTCAGGCAAACACAAGGACCGTAACAAGATCCTGCATTTCTCCCCTCATCAACCAGGAGTGCAAAGCATGTTTCTTTGACACATTTACCCCACCAAATCCAGGACAATGTGCATGCATATTCTAGAAAATTTCTTCCAGCCATTCCAGTGCATAGACATCTTCTCTGAGAACACATACCCAAAATTATCCTGCTGTTCCCTGGGAAAGAGTTCAGGTCTTAATATAATGAAGGTGCAAGAACATAATTCAGGCCAGAACATCAAGGTTTCTATTTCTTTCAAAAATTGATGGATTTTAATTTGCTCATTTAGCCTTTAATATTTATTACTATGACTCTGAATATTCTGAGAGATGCTGAACATCTTCCTATCCAACCTCCTTCCTTTGGACATATGTCTCTTAAATATGTGCACACTTTTGTCCTTTCTACCTACTAAGCCCTGCTTAGTCAAGCTATTCAGCTAAGTCATTACTAAAATTTCTCTTCTGTTTTTAGCCTTCCATATTCTTAGGATTTCCTTAAGCGTTACAAGCTCCAGCTTGTGCCCCATGACAACATCTCATTAAAATTACTTTACTGCTCAGATTCTTATGTAGTACAACCAGCCATTGCTCAGCTGAAGTCAATGAAAGCACACTGATCTATGAGATCTGTCTGTTCATTGTCTTCATTTCTGTTAACTGACCTTTCAATGAAAACAAGCATAGGGAAGGGAAAAAACTGACACGGGAATAAGAGAAATTATATTATGAAGATGAACAGTTTTTCTACCTTGCTGAACACAAGTATTTCACTTGAAAGACAACCCCTAGGGAAATTAGGACATGTCAAGAGTCTTCAACCAGTTTCTAAATGAACTAGAATAAATGATAAATTTCTGTAACAAGCAAGCAAATTTGCACCAATTAATGATGCTATGAACAGAAATCTATTTTTTTAAGAACATATGCAAACTTCTCTTTCAGTTAGGTGCCAAAGTTTGGCTGATTTTGTATATTAGAGGAATCAGTCAATCTCGCCAAGTAGCGTGGCTGAAAACGTATCCTTTTGTGACGCAAGGCCACTATAACTTCAAATAGCAATAGAGCTCCATACTACAAGCTATTTGTTGTATGATCTTCAAAGAGCTGAAGCATCCATTGAACAGAATACAACCGGCACTCATTCACCCATGAATCTGACAATGTGTAATACTGCTAGTAGACTGTACTTGCCAAGAATGCTAGCAATAAATTGAATGTAAGGAAATGGAAAGTCAGACACCTTAGGAAAGATTTATATAGAAATAAGTCTGTTCTTTGAGGACGGATGATAAACTAGTTTCTCAGACCAGTCTGATAGTGTCCATACCATAAGTGAAAACATCTAAGCTAAGCAAAGCATTCTACTGCCGTAGAAAAATAACTGTTCCAGTGCTCCAAAGGGTGAGGAGAAAAGTAATAATTCATGGAAGTCCTAGTGAAACAAGTAGACCAGCCCATCCACATAAGGTGCCTCCCACAGTTTCATATATTGTACCTCCATAGTATTCTAGTAAAACAGTGACAATGGATAATGCAAACAACAAATTCAGGGGGACAAAATTCTGTCTCCATTGAAGTCAATGCAAAACTTCACCATTTTCAGAATCAGGATTTCACCCTTGAGGGCTTTCATTTTCAAGTATTCACAGTGAGGAGGTGACTGGATTTCAATACTCAGTCCCTCTATTTGTTGCCTGCTCTTAAAAAAATTTGTATTATCAGATTTTAAGAGCTGTATTTAACACTTAGCTCCACTGGCTTCTTGCGCATTTCAGGAACCTGCTAACAATAATAATTAAAATAAATAACTTTGCTTATTTCCATCATCGTTGCTGGACTGGCTCCAGACATTCTTTATTCCTTCTCCTCCCCCTGTCCACCCGGCACTAGCCTTCTTCCATTGCTCACTCTGGTCACGGTTAATTCGAGGACTATTTCTTCTTCTTCTTTCCCCTTCACTGCCTCTTTTCAAGACTTAGCTGAAAGTGGCTGTTTCTTTTAACCAATATAATAACAAGGAGCATATATTGTTTCATTCAGGTATGTAACTTGGGAGAAGAAGAAGTTTTGTCCAAGATACTCAATACATGCAAGACCTCCTAAACACACAACACTACTCTTTTGGTTTGCCTGTACATATATCCCTAAAAAGGGCAGAGAAAAATGTTTTCTAGTGCTTGCAGGCTTCCAGAGGGGAGCCTGTTAAACTCCAAGGGAATCTGTCACCATAAATGATGGAATCCCAGAAGACAAGAGTGGGGATTAGCCTGACAAAACATCTGCCTATGTCAACAGAGTGTCAAGTGAAACAAAGCTCCACCAGACACTGATCCAGGGAACGTAGCGTCTGCACTCCACCACCACCTCCCTGCTGACAGCTGGGCACGCTTGCAAAACACGTCTGCTTCTCCCTGACACCGCTGAAAGACTGCAAAGCTCAGTGCAAGTGTGGCTCCCTGACAGCTCTGCCTTAGCACTTCACACCAAAAGCATGTACAGTGCTATAAATGCTTCACTCTCCCTCGCTGCAAACAGATAAAGATTTTATTTCTCCCAAGAAGACAATCTTACTTACTTGGGATAGCGCCTCTGCTGAAAGATGGGCAGAATCTCTGTATCTTGATTTGAATGTAGAAGCAGTAAATCCCGAAATCTTTCTGTCAGGACAAAGAAAAAAAAGAAGAAAAGAAAAAAAAACAAACCCAGACTGTGACTCTGCATTATAAGTTCAAGCCACAAGTAAGCAAGCAGTAATATCAGTGAATTCTCTGCTCCAGCAATATTTACCAGAGGACAAAGCTAAGTGTATAGGGAATAAAATCTATATATTCATACAAAACTGCTGCTAAGACTAGAAATCAGTTTCCTGTAAAACCTTTTAATAATATTCTAAAATGTAATTTTTTTCATCCAATATTGAGTTCTAGCAGTGTTTACAAGTTTCTGAGGTCTGCATACAGGTCTTCTAGGTATCATACACAGCCAGCCATAAACAGTCCCTGCCTTGAAGAGCTTAGTCTAAACAGAAAGGAGGAGCCACTAAGAATTCACCAGCCACTCAAGGATCACAGTAGTCTAAACAAACATGGATTAACTAATTAATCTAAATTAAATTGCAGTAAGAGTCCTTGGGTAACTGATTCATTGGTATTTTCAAGGATGGTTGGAGGACTGGATTGCTTTTTGTTCACTGTTATATATTTTAAAAACTGCATTATAGGACCATCTGCAGTAGGTAAGGTTTTTGTAACTTAGCTTCACAGACCACCAAGTGAAGGGGTGGTTGTGGTTTGTGTAGCTGCCTTTCTCTGGTGCCTTTCTCTAGAGGTGGTTAGACGCAATATGTAAGCGGGATCTGTAGGAGCTTCTATCAGCATCAATTTCTCAGTTCCTGGAAGATGGGAACCTCCTCAAAATTCACTTGATGATACCCAGATTCAGGGATAGAAGGGAATTTCCCACCCAGGTCAAATCCCCTTAGCACACCCCGTAGCTCTCCATAGCATGGGACATGCTCTGTTTCCTTCTTTCCTTCCATCATCTGCAAATTTTATTTAACCAGTTCTCCAGTGGCACAGAAACCTAGGACACTGCTGATGCCCTTCCCATGTTCGCATCTCCTACTCTTCCTGCAATACCTTATAACTGTGGCTTGAAGTCTTCAGCTACAGGTTTTATCCTTCATTTGCTAAACCACAGTTTGCAGCCTGAGTTTGTAGACTGTGTTGCATGTAGTAGCTGTACTATGGATTTCTCTAAACTAGCTATCTCTTTGTTGTGGTTTAACCTCAGTCGGCAACTGAGTACCACCCAGCCGCTTGCTCACTCCTCCCCCCCTGCCCCCCCTCCATGGGATGGGGGAGAGAATTGGAAGAGTAAAAGTGAGAAAAACTCGTGGGTTGAGATAAAAACAGTTTAATAATTGAAATAAAATAATAATAACAAAATAATAATAATAATAATGCACAAAGCAAGTGATGCACAGT